GGGAGCTGCCGCCAGAGAACATGCGGCTGTGGTGGGCTTGACATCTGCTGGGAGCGGACTGCTGCCGCTGCTTCTTCTTCTGTTGGGACTGTGGGGCTTTGCGGCTGCGTGAGGAGTGTGCGCCCTCAGTGCGGAACACTTGCGCTCTCCTCTGCAGAGACACACACACACCGCTAGGAATACATTTTGCTCCGTGGAGAATAATTTTTTTTTTTTTTAAATTTACTTCCCTTCTTTTGCTTGATGATTTAGGACAACCACCATGGACTTTTTTTTACTATTCCCTCTTTTAATTTCTTCTTGCTGCACTCTTCCTGTGAGGGGTGCCGTGTGTTTCCCGCCCAACTGCTCCACTCGCACACCCACCGACACGCTCATGACGACGGCCCTGTGCGCCTCGCCTGCTGCACGCATGAGGAGGGGCCGCGACGAACGGCGCGCTGAGGGAGCCGCGACGTGTGGGCGTGCGGCGAGGGCCTGTGGGGCGGAGCACACATTTCTTCCCCTCTTGTTTTGTTTTCTTTTGCGGCCAGGGCTGGCAGACACCCGCAGCGCCACACACACAGCCACACCCTGCCGCTTTTTTAGGATTTTTTTTTGCTTTGCGTGTTTTTTTTTTTTTTTTTGCGCTGGCGCACCCTTCGGGGTCGGCCTCGTGAGCATTTCTTTTCCCTCCGATGATTTCTTTTTTTTTTTTTCTGCGCTCACTCTCCCGATGGAGAGACGCGACTTCCGTCATGTCTGCGTGCTTCTCTTAGTCCCCACACACACGAGTGACTGTGCTCTGCGGGCCGCACTCGCACGCCGATGAGAGGGCTGAGGGGAGCAGCAACACGCAGATGACCCCGTGAAATATAAACGCTGTGCGGACACGCAGAGGGTCGGACGGTTGAAAGACATTTAAATATCTTTTAATTTTCTTTTGCGGGCAAAATATACAGACAGTTTGGTGTGGCCACACGGTAACAAGGTGAAATTTTTTTGTGGGTTTTTCTTTTCCTTTTTTTCTTTTTTCTTTTTTCCTTTTTTTCTTTTTTCTTTTTTTTTTTTTTCATTCTTTTTTTTTTTTCCTTTTTCATTCTTTTTTCTTTTTTCCAAAGCGTGAGGAGCGGAAGGGTGAAGATGAATTTTTTTTTTAATAAATTTTTTATGAATTGCCGCTGCTTTCTCTGCAGTGCAATATCATGAGTTTGAGCAGTCTTTTTCTCTTTGTTTCTGCCATGCACCTCTGCTGTACATTTTTGCTTGTGCGTCCCTTCACATGCTCTGCCCCTGTTTTTACTTCCTTGCCTCGTGTGTCTGCAGGCGCACACAACCACACAACATGCACATTGCAGTGGGTTTTGATGCTTCTTTTGTAGCGTGTGCTGGCGGTTGCGGGTGGCTGCTGCTTCCTCCGTGGGCATGAATGGAAGGAGGAGAGAGGGAGCGCGCACGGCAAGTCACTTTTGCTGTTGGCGTGACGCACCGCCTGTGACTTCTTTGAGTCGGGCACCGAATCCCATTGTGGGTGTAATGGCTGGAAATTTTGTCGCCACGTCATGGATGGATAAGGATCCGTTTCCACGTGTGGCTCTTTGGGTGATTACTGGCACCGTGTGCGTTGTGTGTTGGCTGCGGGGCTGTGGCCGTATCCCGTTGGCCGCGAGACTGAACTGGAGGCGGCGGCGGTGTGTCTCTTTTCCTCGCCCATTGTGGGTGAATGCGGGAGGTGCGCGCGTTTTTTGTGTGGAGGACCGAATCCTCCCACGCGCGGTCTGGCAGCACTGCGATTTGTGTGTGTGTGAGGGCTGGTGTGGGCGATGGTGCTCCGCGCTGTTCCTTCCGGATTCTCTTGTGTCCCGCTCTCCGCATGGGTGCTCTGCTCTGCTCCCCACGGACGTGTCTGATGTATTGCCGCTTTTTTCTTTTTCCACATGTTGAACACAGACACACGCTAGGAAGGAAAGCAAACAAACGCGAAACGCTACTGTGAGATTCGAAGGCACTGAAAGCACCAACAACAGCACACATACACATCGCCCACCCACACCTACTTACATGCTCTCACGTGTTGCTGTGATGGCACCCCGCACACACAACCGTCGCCGCGTGACCGGCTCCAGCGGAAGGAGGAGGGGAGGAGGAGAGAGTGAGCCGCAGAGGCCCAACATGTCCCGGCGTGTGTTTGCTTCCGCGATGCTCCTCCTCGTTGTGATGATGATGTGCTGCGGCACCGGCGGAGCTGCTCACGCTGAGCAGGCAGGGGCCGCTGTTGATCCTTTTAAGGAGATGACGCCGATATCATTTGCTAATTGGAGGGAGTTGAAGGAGGAGGGCAGGGAAATCACCTCGCTCCGTGTTTCTGGCCTTGTTAAAGTGGGTGATGATGTATTTGCCGTGGCTGAAGCGCGGTGCGGGGAAAAGGATGGAGCCGGCAGCTGTGCTGGGATTGTCTCAAAGCACCTGAATATAAGTGATGACTCAATGGATATTTCGATGTCGGATATAAGTTTGTTTCGCATGCAACTTGTGGAAACTGCCGAGAATAATTTTTGGACAACAGAATTGTTGCGGCCAACGACACTTGTAATTGAGGACAGTGTCTACATGCTGGTGGGGAAATACAGCCATACAAAGGAGCAGGTTGAAGGTAAGAATGAGCGGGGCCTTTTACTCGTGAAGGGAACTGTCACGGTGGATGGTGGAAACAACAAGAAACTTGTGTGGAATGAGACCCTTGTGGTGAAGCCTCAAGCCATAGGATATTCTGGTGCCTTTACCGAGTTTTTGGGTGGCGGTGGATCGGGTGCTGTGATGCGTGACGGCAAGCTTGTGTTTCCCATGCAGGCCAAAAAAAAGGACGGACAGCGCGTTTTGCTGTCTATGAGTTTTATCCCGTCAAAGAACAAATGGGAGCTTTCACTCGAGACGCCTGGTAACGGCTGCAGGGATCCAACCCTGGTGAAGTGGAAAGAAGACGAATACGGCGAAGAACTCTTCATGATGGCTCATTGTGCTGGAGGCTACTATGACGTTTACAAGTCAACTTTGCATGGAGTCAGTTGGTATACGTCGGGTCAGCCAATTACTCGCGTGTGGGGCAACTCACACAATCGAACAGGGGACGGCGTCCAGAGTGGATTCACCACCGCAATCATTGAGGGTAAGAAGGTGATGCTCATCACCGCGCCGGTGTATCCGAAGGACAATGGAAAGGGTCGGCTCCATCTTTGGGTGACGGACAATGCACGTGTGCATGATGTTGGGCCGGTATCTCGTGAAAATGATGACGCCGCCGCCAGTTCTCTGCTGGTGAAAAGTAAGGATGAGCTGATTTTACTGTACGAGAAGAGGAATGGTGACGGGCCATACAGTCTTGTCACCATGCGCCTGACTGAGCAGCTGGAGCGGATAAAGGAAGTTGTGAAGACATGGAAGGATTTGGACAGCGCCTTGAGAGTTCCCACTGAAGGGCTGGTTGGTTTTTTGTCCAGGACGTTGAACGGGACTGCATGGAAGGATGAGTACCTCGGCGTGAATGCCACAGTGGGGGACGGAGCGACCAGCACGGAGAGCGGTGTGACGCTCAAGGGAGCAGGGGCGAAGTGGCCTGTTGGCGACATGGGGCAGACTGTGCCGTACTACTTTACAAACAACAAGTTCACTCTTTCGGCGACGGTGACCATCCACGAGGTGCCGGAGGCAGGCAGCATTCCTTTGATTGGTGCGAGGCTGAACGACAAGGACAACACGGTGCTCTTTCAGCTCTCGTACACGAGTGAAAGAAATTGGAACCTCACACTTCACAAGATGGGGTTTTTGGTGAAGCCGTCTAATGATGTTGGCAATTGGGAAACAAACACGGCAATTCGAGTGACGGTGCAAAAGGATAACGATGATGAATGGCTTGTGTACGCTAATGGAAGAACAATATACGAGACGGATTACGAGGAACTGGGTTTCGAGGAACTGGCTAGGCTCCGTAGTGAACATTTTGGTTCACACAGGATCTCACACTTCTTCTTTGGTGCGGGCGATAAGGAAGATGAAGGGAGCAGCCCTGTGACGGTGGCTGATGTCCTTCTGTACAACGACGAGCTGTTTGAGGATGACCTCGGAGACCTCAACGCCAGGACAGTCCCTATTCGACATCCGGCTGCCGAAGAACTGCACACTGCGGTAGAAGTCACAGCGACGGGGGAAGAAAAGCAGACGGCCACACAGCTGACGAATTCCCTGGCGGACGTTGAAGATCCTCGAATTGCACAGCCGACTGACTCTCAGTCTGTCCGTGTTCTTGCGGGCAGTGAATCGAGTGCTGAGAATGTTACGGACGAGTTGAGTCCACGCACTGCCGCCAAAAATGACACTTCCGTTCCAGAAACCAATCACTCAGCATCCGATGGCAGAATGAGTCCAGAGGACCGCCTCGCCCTGATCACCGACGCGAAATTGATCCTGCATGATTTACGTGGTGACAGCACTGCGCGTGTGTGCGTCTCCCGGGCGTTGCTGCTTCTTCTGGGACTGTGCGCACTTGTGGCATTCTTCTGAGCCAAATAGTGTAGAATTGCGACTCCTCACGGAGATTGTGTGCTGCGTTCCCCGCGGGTTCTTCTTTTTTTTTCTTTTTTTTCTTTTTTTTTTTCTCTTTTTTTTCTTTTTTTCTTTTTTTCTTTTTCTTTCGTTTTCAGTGTTTCGTTGTAATACTCAGCAATTCTTTTTTTCTTTTTTTTTAATTTTTGGTTGCTGCACACTGTTATGAGTGATTTGTTTCCCCCTCTTGTTTTGTTGCCCACACGCGGTGCCGGCCCTGCGGCTGTGCATCCCATGGACTGCACGAAAGGGAGGATTGGAAGAAAAGGCCGGATGCCGCAATGAAAGTGAGGGATTTTGTGTGGGCTGGTGGAACAGTACAATTTCATTTTTTTCGTTTTACTTTCTTTTTTTCATTTTTTTTTTTCGTTTTGGTGCAGGTAATATTTATACAGAACACACGGTCGTCTTGTGCTGAACCGGCACATGAAGTAAAAGTCCTGCCGAATCAACACATTTTTTAAATTTTAAATGTTTTTGGGAGTTTTTCTGAACTCCTACCCTTTTGTTTCTTTTTTCTTTTTTTTTTTAAATCCCTGCGGACTTTTTTTCTCTGTGCCATGTCCACTGCCACTTTGTGTCCTTGTGTCCCTTTTCTTGTCCCTCTGCTGACCGTGCTGTTGACATGCCCCTATTGCCTCTCTTTCTTTCCTGCTAGAAGCACTGATGTTCCGCGACGACGATTGTTTGTGTTCCCCATTGCGATGGCAGGAGGGTGACTGGGCGCCGGCCTGCTGAGTGCACTCGGAGGAGAGCGGATGGTGTGCGCCGTGCCTCAGTTGTGAGTGTTGGACGCCACCCGCCACGACCCGCTGTGGGGCGGAGGGAAGTGAAGGACAGCGCCGTGGACTTGGGTGCGTCCCGTCCCTCTCGTTGCGGCCGTGGGTCTGTGCTGATCGCATGGCTCTATCTTGCGGCGCGACGTGGATGGCGGTGCTTCTGCGTGCGTTGTGCGGCGGGCTTTTCCTTCTCCATTTCTTTGCCCTTTTGTGTGTGGAAGGTTGTAGGAGAGGATGTGTGCGGAGGAGTGAGCGTGGGTGGCTGCCAGCCTCGCCCGCGCATTGAGGAATTCCATACACGTGGCTTTGCTTGACGGCGTTGCGCGGCACCCAGGGTGTGGCGAGGAGGAGGATGGGGAGGGTCTGTTGTGGGCGGAAGGTGGATGGATGACACAGTCCTCTTCCGTGTCCTTCCCTGTGCTGTTGGCAGTAAGTACTGAGAGCATAAATTTGAGCGAGTGCGGGATGAAACGTTTATGCCGCTTTGTGTGTGCAACTCAATCGTCGTCATTGCAGGCTGTTGTCACGGTGCGTTGTGGTGCGGTGCCGTTAGATGAGGGAAGGGTGCGATGCCCCGGCCGCTGTGCACCACAACCATTTATTGCCTCTGCACCGGCATTGTTGTTTTTTGCGCTCGCATAATTTTCTCTCTTGCTTCACGATGAATTTGTTGGAGGAGCTTTGATTTTGGTGCCTGCTTCACGGTGTTTCGCCTTGTTTCGGTTGCGGTTTTTCCACGTGATGCTGAAGCGTTTGATGGGGTGTTTACCCTTCTTTTTGCGCCCTGTAGTCAGTCTTGTTTGGTCATGGCGGCAGCAGTGGGCCTCTGCGACTGCGTGTTCGTCGCACTTGTCGCATCTCCCGCTGTTGCTCCCTTGCTGTGTTGGTGGGGAGGAGGCAGGCGACTGCGTTGGTGAAGTGGCGTCCCAGTGGGAGAGGGAAGGCCCCGACCGCACGATCGACGTGGACCCTTGTCCCCCGTGTATGGGTGTCACCACCGTACCTTTTTCATTTGTCCTTCTGTGTGCCGTGTGCGCGTATGATGCCGCTGCTTGCTGTGCAATGCTGGCCTGTGCGAGCAAGAAAAGACGCCTTGACTGCTGGCGACCGGCGATTTCTCCACCCCTTTTCCGCGCCATCATTACCACGTTCTTGGACGTGCTCGTTGACTGCCGGTTGCAACGCCGCTACTTGGTACTGTCTCGGCCCTTGTGCGTCCTTCACGGCATCAGGACTGCTCTGTGGTAGAAACGTTTGGTTGCAGGAGCGGTGCCAATGGTCATGTGTCTTTTTGCTGGGATCCCACCACTCTGCATGGTGGCTGTGTGGGGCTGCGCGGGCGGTGGGAGGGCGGTGACATCACTGGGCTGACTGCGTCTGCGCCTCTTTTTTTCGCTGGTTGCGCTTTGGCGGGGATTTTCTGTGGCCGAATGCCTCTGCGTGCCACTGTGTTTGGTTACTGTTGCCGCTGCTTTCTTCTTTGATTGTGCAGTTAGAGATACTTTGGCTTGATCAGCACAACTATCGTTTCAAGGTGGTAGGGATTACTTGCAGTATTAGGATTAGCAGTACTGGGATATCGATCTGGCGGAATCGTGTCACTGGATTCGCCATCTGTAGGGAAGGATTTGATAGACAGGAGTTATGGTCGACGGTGCGAGTGCGACGCACCGCGACAGCCCTGCTGATACGTGTCTGGGTCGGTGGATGCGGTCTGCGGCGGGTGCGTGTCCGCGCAGCCGGCACCGCGTGCGGCACAGGGCCATTGCGGCTGTGCTTTTGGCGCTGCTTGTGGCGTTGGTGCTGGCTGCTGCTGCTGCGTGGATGCCCGCGGTGCATGCGGTGGTGTTGCGACTGCGGGGCGGCACGGTGGACAGAGCCATCACGGTTGGCCGCGCCGTGGACACGGTGCTGATGGACGGCGTGTACGTCACGAACGGCGTGGCTGTGGTGTTCGACGTGGCGGCGATGCTTCCCGGCGCGCTGCGCATCGAACTGAGGGACTGCGTGTGCGACGGCGGTGCGCAGATCTACGTGCGGGGCTACAGCGGCGAGCCGGCGAGTGACCGGAGCCTGGAGGTGAGCGTGAGCGGGCTGTCCGGCGGCTACTGCTCGCTTGTGTTTGCGCACAACCTGCCGGCACACACGAACGTGACGGTCCGTGACACGACGGTTTTGACGCCGGGGCCGATGCGCTACTCGCAGCTGAGCGGGCTGACGGACGCGGTGGCGGCGCCGCTTGTGCTACACGCGACGTCGCTGTTGCAGACGCAGCTGCGTGTGAGCAACACTGTGCTGAGGTCGTTGCAGGCGGGCGGGTCGGCGGTGCACGTTGGCGGCGGTGTGGACCTGCTGTCGAGCGCGGTGGTGTTTGACGGCGTGTCGCTGGAGGCGTCGGGCGGTCCGACCGCCTCCGCGATGCATGTGGCGTCCTCGTCGATTCTCAGTCTGCGGAGCCACTCGGTGTTCTCCGTGACGAACGTGTCGGTTGTGAGCAGCGGCGGCGGCCTTGTGCTTGGCGAGCGCCTCGCGGTGGTCGATTCGGTGCTGCGCTTCGTGGGCGTCGAGGGGTCTGTCGCGTCGTCGCTGGTGCGCTGCGACGGTGGGACGGTCGGTGGCGGCGGGTGGCTGGAGCTGCACGACGTGTGGGCGGTGGGCGAGGCGTCGTCGGTGGCGTCGCTGTCGGGGGTGACGCTGAGCGGCGGCGCCGTGTCTATTGCTCGCTGCGCTGCCACTGGCGCTACGCTTGTCTCCGGGCCGACGATCACGAGCGGCGTCGTGTCGGTGCAGTGCAACCGTGCCGGCGGCCGGGTGCTGCAGAGCAGCAGCGACTACCGCATGGCCGGCCTGTCGTCCGTGAGCGTGGTGCCGTGCGACGGCTGTGCGGCTGCGCTGGCGTGCTTTGCTGCGCTGACGGCGTCGTTCTCTGACTGCGTGCGGCTGCCATGCCGGCGGCGTGGGCGAGGCGTGCCTGCCGTTCGACGTGCCGGCTGCGAGGGCCGGTGGCGGCGGTGGCGATATTGCGGAGGGCTGCGTGAGTGGCGTGATGCTGACGGAGTCGGTGACGGTTGGCGGCGGGTGGGCGACGGCGTGCTTTGACTCGGTGATGTTTAGCGGGCCGATCACTGTGGCGGTGGACCTGCGCTCGATGGACGCGTTTGCTGACGCGCTGAACGTGACGCTGTGCCACTGCGTGCTTGCGGGCGGCGCGCAGCTGCGGATTGGCGGCCTCAGCGAGAGCACGGCGCGCCTGATGCCCCACGCCCTCGTCAACATGACGAACGTGACGTCGCTTGAGGGCACGATTATGCTGCATGGCGCGATGCCGCTGCACTCGAGTGTGCTGCTGGCGAACTCGACGCTGCGCGCGACGGTTGGCGGGTCACAGTACGTGCCGACGACCCGTGAACACGAGAAATTCCGGTACGGCCCCGCGCTTGTCCTGGACGGCGTCCGGCTTCTGTCGACGCGGTTTGTCATGACGCGGTCGTCACTGGTGTGTGGCGGGGGCTCGTGCGCTGCGCTGTACGTGGACGGGCTGTCAGTGCAAACGGCGCTGGGGCTGTGCGTGTCGGTGGAGGGCGGTGTTGCGGCCAGCGACGGCTCCGTGGTGGCGTTTGTTGACAGCGACTTCCTGCTGTGCAAGCACGCGGTGTCCGTTCGTGGGGCTGTGAGCGTGTCGGGCTCCGCTGTGGCGCTTGTGCGGAGCGAATTTTTGTCGGCGGAGGACTACGCGGTGGCGTTTTATTCGACTGTGAGCCTGGCTGGCGGGTCGATGCTGCTGGCGAAGGGCAACGTGCACGACGGCGTCTCGAGGGAGATGCTCCACACCGCTGGCGCTGTGACCGCTGCTGGGAGCACGCTGAGCTTTGTGCGCAACCGAGCGCTGCTGCCGCGGATGCTGTTGCTGAGCCTGTCGCTTGCGGCAGGGGCGCATTTGAGGGTGGCGTGCAACGACGCTGGTGGACGTGTCCTGTCGACGGCGGAGGAGTACGCAGCGGCTGGTTTTGGCGACGCTGGGAGCATCGACGTTGCTGGGTGCGACGCCTGCGACAGGGACACTTACTGTTACGCGCCCGGGACGGCGTCGGCGAGCATGAGGAACGGTGTGTGCGTGTGCGAGTGCGGCAGCGGCGGGTACGGCGAGGCGTGCGTGCCTGTGGGAGCTCCCGTGCTGCCGCCTGCTGTGGGCACCGCGCCGAGTGTGTTCTTCCGCGAGGGCGTGACGGTGCGGTCTGTGTTCGTTGTGCCTGCCGGCGCGAGCGAGGTGACGCTGCGCCACTTTGTGCTGGACGGCGTGAGTCCGGTGCTCTACGTGCCGTGGATGGCGCGGGAGGACGGTGGGGATGCATGTTGGGGAGCGCTCGGCGAATTGACCTGGTCGGGCGAGGCGCGGCCTTTCTCCACTGGGGAGCGATGAAAAAAGGAGAAAAAAAAAGGGACGGGTGCGGCGAGGCACGCGTCGGCACACAGGCAAACAACCAAAATGAACATTCGCGCAGAAACCAATAGGTAAAATGTCAAAAAGGGGTCTTCATTCCGCTTCTCACTCCATCTCGTTCCTCGCGTTTGCGTCTTTTTCCATTCCTCTTTTCCTGCGCAGACCGTCTTGTTTCTCTCTCTCTCTTTTCTTTGTTTTGTTGGCTTTCTTTTGGCTTCTCTCGTTCTTTCCTTTCCTCTCTTCATCCCGGCTCCCCACGACTGTCCGCCATCACTCTTCGCTTTTGCTTCGTTTTGCCGTTCTGTTGCCCCTTTTCGCCGATCGATACTCATTTTCGCTGTGGCTCAGGGGCGCCTTCTTCACAACATTTGCACACTGCGGGACGAAGCCCCTCGGCACCTTCCTTTCAAGGTTCGGCATGCGCCTGGGCTCATTGGCGCGCCGTCTCGCATCCGGGTCGCTGCGAACACGCTGCTCCTGCTTCTTTCGCTCCTCAATCTCGCGTCGGCGGTTGTTTCCCGACGGTGTTAAAAAATCCGGCAGTGCGGCGCCCTCCGTCGAGCCACGGAAAAGTGGCGCAAGAGAGCTCTCAACGTTCAGCGCCCTTTCGCGACGATCCGGGATGGCCTCCAGCGTGTGGAGCGGCAACGGTCGACTTACGGGGACGCGGTAGCGGGACACCGGCCCACAACTAGGGCCATGCGCGACTTTCTTGGCGTATGGATCGTTTCGCATCATCTCGTGCGCCGGCGGGTGCTTGCCGTGGGCGGCACCTTCGCGCGTCGGCTTCTCCGGCATTGGCAGGAGAAATCGCCGGGGGATCGCCGTCATATGTGTTTCCTCCCCCGTGTGTCCCGCGGCGCTCCCGGATGACACCGTTTCTGCGCTCATTTCCTTAAATGTTTCCTTGTGCGAACTCACCGTGTCTTGTCGCCTCTCTCTTTGCTTTCCTGAAGATTGGCGTGTCCAATGCGGCGGCTCTGTGATGTCTATGTTATTCCTTAGAATGTGTTTTGCTTTTGCGCGATGTGGGCGACTCGCGTTTGAGCATTCGCACCACATGGAGGTGAAAATAATGCAGGAAAGAAAAACCATGAGTCCCAGAGAAAGGAAGCAACATCAACAAGATAGCGGAAAACTTCAAGCAACCATTTCTAGCCCGAGAGAATTGCAGCAAAGCTCCCAGAAGAGGTCCCGCGTTACGTCGCCAGTGCGCATTCATCTCGCTCGCAAAACAACAACACCAAAAGGTGGCTCTTATTATTATTTTTTTTTTTGTTTTGTTTTATAGGGGGCTTTCTCCCCTCTCACAGATGCACACACTTGGAATCCTCCATTGCTACTGTGTATTCCATTCGCAAAGCTTGTAACAATCAAGACACATCTTTGACTCGCTATCGCTGCAGACAGCACAATTATTGCACAGGGTGGTTCCGCATCTAACACATTGCCCCCGTGAAGAGAAAAAACCGAGGTTCTTGTGACAATGAGAACATATCCGGGAATTTCCCTTCCCTAAAGAGGAGCTCGCAACGGCCACCGCTGGACGCCCGACGCAGAGGTTTTGCAACCGTCGCCGCATGTCTGGCAACTCTCTCCTGCGTGCCGCACACGAATCCCTCACAAACCGATCAAAATATCGTTCCCACTCCGGATGAAAAGAAACTTTTTTCGTCATCTGCTGCGGCCCGTCACGAAAATCTATGGAGTAGTTGTCTCCATCGTGCCGCAGGTAAAAAGATTCCCACAAGACAAGACGTTTGCTGCTACAGTTGGGTGAGATGCGCTGAATACCACTTCCTTTTTGCTTTGATATGTACTCCCATGCCGTCGCAGAGTCGTAGTTCTCATTGACAAAGTACAGAGACGAATGCCCTGCGCGTTCCTTTGCCGCGGCACGCACCACATCTGTCCATATGGATGCCGTGCCCAGACGTACCCCCTCAAACATCCGCTCCTTCTCCCCGTTGCAGAGAAATGTTCCGTGCAGGCAGGCGTACACCTCCTCACTGAGGTACTCCAGTAGTCGTGTGGTGAACTCAAAGTGCCGTGGAAATTGGCGCACCAACTGAAACACCACGTCCATCCATTGCAAAAAGATGGGAGAAGGCTGCAACTTTGTGTTCGAGTGCTGCGCCTCCGTGTCGGATCCAGAAACACCCGCATCGGAGGTGTAGCTGGTTTCTCCCTGCACCTGATGGCCACACCGTTCGGCAAACTTGTGGCCAAATGAGCAAAATTCTTTTTCCACTAGTACACTAAAACCGACGATGGTCCGATAGAATGGGTCCAACAGCAACATGGCGGTGGCGGTGCATTGCGGTGTGCGATCCCATCCATCGGTACAGTGCACGAGGCATGAGTCCCCAAGGTCCAGGGAATCCGCAATCTTGCTGGAGCAAATTAACAACCTTTGAATGTGATAGAGCCATCCTGTCTCGTGAAGCTGCGAAAGAAAATTCTCCTTCGGTTGCTTTCCGTTGAACCGATGAATGAGGGCCTTCAACTTCGAAAAGGACTTGGAGACACTGTGAATGTTTTCAATGCCGTGAAACTTAACCTCACAGAAGTCGTGCGTAGCACCGCTCTCGTAGCCCCCGCCCATGGCAAGATTCGCATGGGCCGCGTTGGATGGTCGGCAATCAACGACGTAGAGTGTTCGTTGAGATCGCGTGGTTGACGTTGTCTCCTGGTACGTGGCGGCGGGGAAACGCTGTGCCGGAGGTTCCTCCGATCCCGTGTCAAATAGGGAGGGTGGTGGTGCCTGTCGAGTGCTGATTGGCACGATAGATACCACAGCAGGAGGCTCGCTTCTTGGTTCGGCGTTGTGGGCATGATAACCGCTGTTTGCAAACATGCGACAGAGCTCACCGTCCTGACGCAGCGCCGGCGACCTCGCCAAGGGCTGCGAGGATCGCGCAAGCACCGCGCCGCTTCCAAGATGCACAAAGGAAATGGCAGGGAAACGTGCTCGAGAGCGAGCCGCCATGACGTCCTCCAACAGTTCGTCACTCGCCGCGTTGGGGACAACCACACGGAACGGATAAGTTGGCGACTTGCCGTAGCTATTCTTTGACTGCTTTACACTTGTCAAACGAAACCATGGCCGCAGGTCTCGCTTGATACCGACGCGGGACACATCGCTGACACTTGGCACGGCAGTACCGGGGTACAATGACAACTGCCTCTCTAGCTCTCGGTCGGCGTCGAACAGATTCCAGCCGAACTCGACCATGTCTATGTGGTTCTCGAAACCACAACGACCACCATCATCCCCATTGGTCAATTCGCCGCTATTCTTATCCCTATTATTATCATTATTATTATTATCATCATTATTACTGGTATTATTGTTCTTTTTATCCTCCCTGTGATTTTCTTCATGGATATCATCATTATCACAAACGGCATCTTCACATAGTGCGGCGTAACGCTCCCTGTAGAGTACGAAAGCCGGCATGCCCTTGAGTTGCGTGGTGTGGAAGTATCGCCAAAGGTCTCTCACTGTGTTGGCCACGCGCTCTCCTTGCAACAGAACCTCCACTTCCCAAAGGTGCTTCGATGAAATCTTCAACGTGTACCCGGCTGAAGGGAAGTTACTTTGGGCAAGCGGCGGTGGCGTTGTTTCGTCCATTGCGCGCGTTACCGTGTCGTGGTCAGCAACCGTTTGCTCTCGTCCCCACTGAAATACCGCACGCGTTGTTGCTTTGAGTGCTCTGCGCTGCACATTCCATGAAGCAATCGATAGTAGCGGTAACGAGAAACCCAATTCATCCTCGGCGCTACCTTTCTTCCCAGGGGAGATCAAAACGCGATAGTTTGAGATGGACAGCGCACAGCGCAGCATCTGTCTGTCATCGTCAATGGGGTACAACAGGGCCGCCGCCTCCCCCTCGATGGCGGTGTGGCAGATATCAATAAAGCTCGTCTCACCAACCAAGTGTTCGGGTGATGTGCCTTTCGACATGGCGTGTTAACTTTGTGTACACCTTTCCTATTTAACCGCAAAAGAGGAAAAAAAAAAAGAAGTTGTACTCGCCCACCACACACCCCAAAATAAGATGCGCATTTGCGTGAGAAGCAGTTGGAGTGAGGAAGGTGGCAGCTGCCTTCCCCTTTCTTGCCAAAGAAGATTCAGGAATCCCTCGTCATTTATCTTTCGATTCTTCGCGTTTGTGGAATCTCCCTCTTCTGTCTCCCCCCGCTGTTGCCAAGACGGGGGTATGGGGAAAAAGTAGGAAAGCAAAAAGATATTTCGCATGAAACAAATGTGCGGTGGCCTCAGCAGCAACAGCCGCTACAGCCGAGAAAGTAAAGTGGAAGAGAGGGGAAGCAACTGGTATGGCTGAGTCATTTAGCACAGTAAGAGGGTGAGAGGGCAAAATAGTGGAACCAATACGCACATATATATATATATATATATAAACAAACACACAGAAAAGGAAGGGAACTGACGGCCACGCCTCCGCATTCCCCACTCTCAACCCCCACTCCAATCCAACCCATCATCCTCAGAGTAAATCAACATAATTACTTACTGATCGGTTCCCACCCGATGCTGCGCCGAGAATATTTTCTCGCACGGCATGGCCATTGCATGTTCTCCCTGCATCTTTGTGGATGTCACTGTATGTGCCAAAGGCACCTGGGACATGAGTACGCGATTTTACAGCATCGGTGCCCTCAACATTAAGTCTCTCTTCTACATAGAAGTCATCACTGCCAGCAAAAAATGCATGATTAGCTACTGGTGGGTCCAACTTGGACAAAGAGGACGGGAAGTTGGAGTTAGCATGCGACCTCCACGAAGAATCAATCTCCCCCAACGAATTCTGAGAATACGCAGCACTGGTCTTTGCAGCATCCGCACTCAAATTATTTCCCCCCTCTTCTTTTTTCTTCGTCTTCCCTATCATTTCCCTCTTCTCAATCGCGGTTGTAAGCGTCGCGGCACGAGCAGACGCATGCACAAGATGCGTTGTTGCGCCAACACCGTGACGCGCAAGGAGGTCGGCAATGCAATTTTTTGACTTCTCCATCAAAGACTCCCGCTTAAAAACAGAGGCTGCAGCCACAGAAGCATCGCCTGCTGTCGCAGTTGCCTCGGTTGCACCACCGTCCACCACTAAAACAGTGATGGATGCGCTCACACTGCGTGACGGGCCCAAGGGTTCCAAGCTGAAGAGACGCCTTGCTCGTGCGCGGGCGCGAGGGGTCAGTGGCGGTGTGCTGGCGTCAGCCGCATCCATCTTGAAACATGCGCTTGATATCACCGCCTTCAGCTCGTCCTTGCGCTGGGTGCGGAACACAGTATACACCTCTGCGTCGGCGTCCTCAGCAATGATCTCTGCAACGGTGTCGAAGGCGATGAGAACCGTCACCGGCGGACAGTTCGCCGGCTGTGCGCACAGCAGTTCGTCCGCCGCGTTGCCGCCTCTGGCAAGTTGCAGCGGTCCAACACTTTCCTCCGTCAGTCGCAATTCAAACTGCCGTGCCAACTCATTGCCACGGTGACGCTGCTGAAACAAATGGACCGCGTACCGCAAAAGGTGTGGCAGCGTGAGTATAGCCCCGCAGTTCGAAAGTACCGCCAACGAAAGATGCGCCCACGCCATGTGGAGCTCAGAGGTTTTTTTCTCATTTTTCACAAACGCCTGCAACCGCGACACAAAAGACAGAACAAATGGCAAGGAGGAGGCGCCGCGGACTTGCATCACTGCCTCCACCACCCGCCCTACCTCAATAACACAGGACGGCGTCACGGGCTGCGTGCTGGCAAGAACCGACCAAACCCAATTTTCCGCGACGGCCATGTCCTGCTCGTTCGTCACAAGTGGGGGTGGCGCTTCCGCCGTCACCGTCTCTGCGTCTGGAATGCTGCTGCCCACGTCCACATCTTGCGATGGAATTGTCCCCGCAATGAGACCCACGAGCACCTTTGCTGCATAGGCCTGTAACGCGTTGTGTGTCGCAAGGAAGGGTTCGATAGTGCCGGAGAGATCAATGTCACCGCGGTCAACCAAAGGAACAGCGCGCACATATGCTGCAGCCACA